AGTCAAGCACAGCAAGGTGAAACTGTTGATTTCTGCTTTAGGGACTTATTCAAAGGTTGAAATGAGAGAGGGTAGATTTGCCATCATTATACTGGAAGAATAAAGAATGCTTTAAGGCTCACTACTTCAACCTTTGCAGAAAATTTTCCATCACCATCCCAATCCAGACTTCAAAGTGAGGGTTGACTGGGTTAGAAAATTAGTCTTATTCTTCAGGGAACTATTTTTGATATACTGTCCATACAGGAGATTACTGTAAGTATGAAAATTCATGTCACTTGAGTGATTGGAATGTGATTTCCTTGAATGATGGAAGACTAAGAAATTAATTTCTGAGTTGTGTAATATGTAGGCTTCTTTATCACTATGCATCCCTTATTATGAGACTCTGGTTTAATAGAGTGTTATATATATTTCTGTAATGATTTTCATTTAACACCTGCAAACAATTATTATAATAAGCTTTCTCTCATTCCTTAAGATATGTTTCTTAATGTCGGTAAACTTATGAGAAATTATTTGTGGTACCCAGCTGAACCCACATGAGGAATTGTTATTGCATGACAACTGGGATTAGAAAGATAATACAGACTTGTTAACCATAAATTAGAAGACTGCACACACCTTCTAACAGCAATCTAGCCAGAATGGGAAATGAGTCACAAGAATTTTTGACAAGTGAAGGAAGTGTGGGGTACCTGTGGCATTTTGGTCATCTGCCATATTGAGATTTGGGGGAAGGGAGGAAAGAAGCTTAACAAATTTATGGTAATTGTTTGAAATATGATTGTTCCTTAGATTCTAGTGGGTTAAACTGATTTTGCTCTTTACCTTTTAAAGTGCAGAGAGTTAGGAAATGCAGAAAGTGAAGACCTTTCCTAGCAAGAAAAGGCAATTGTTCTCTCTCAGATTGCATATCTTTCTGGCTGAAAAAAAGAAAGCTTTTCTTCCCTCACAGTATTACAGGATTTAATCAGGATTTAAGTATCCCCCTCTCAATGAAATCTCAGCAAACCTATAAACAGCAAAACCTGTTTAAAGAGTTCACGACATCCTGTCATTAACAAATTAAAGCATTACATTTTCAGTATACACCTTACTGTTGTCTTCTGCCATATTCGTCTCCACCCCTTCTCTCTGCTCCCTCTCACCTTCCCTACTTTACATCAAGAAAAGCTAAAAGGCCTCTATCCAATCAGGTTCCTTCAGGGGGACAGTGAGGAGGGAATCAAGTAAAGATGCCCATGGCTACTCCAGAGGAAGGAATGGATGCAAAGAGGGACAGCAGTTTCCTCCCTTCGTTTCCTCTGCCCTCCCACCAACTGCAGCCACCTAGCAGCACCCTCAGATGTCAAATACTGCCTGCAGAGGTGAAAGAGATGATGCACAGAATACATTATCACGGGAATGCCTCATGTACTGCAAAACACGGTATAGCTAAGAGAAGTGAGACTGCAGGAGTTTCAGTTAATACTGCATCAGTAGATTGAGACGATGCCTGCCCGTGTTCAATATCAACCCAGAGAGAGGTCACTGCTGGAGACTTCTAATATCATGCCTCTGCAATAGTTACGTGATAGTGGTTTAACTAATCAATGATGACCATATATTGGAAAAGTACTAAGTCTTCTGCAAAGCATTGCACATTTTCCAAACACAGTTGCATAGAGGTGAAGGTTACCTCCGTGCCATGGATTCAAATATTTAAACAGAGAATCCTTCATCCTAAGGATGAAGACAGTGAAGAATCTTAGGCTCTGAGTGCAAGAAAACAATTGTGAAGATGATTAAAATGGTTATTCCCTAATATGAAGATAACCTATGTTCACTTGACCAGACATTTGCTTTTAATTCTTTGATCTGTCACAAGAGCCTACTTTTAATTTACATAGTATCCAGGAAGAGATACTGAGAAAGTGACTATTCTGCAATATACTCAAGTGTTTGTATTATTTTGTAGAAAACTCCATGAAGACAAAAGGTAACAACTACATTATTTAGGGGAATGTATAAAGACAGATATGTTAGTGAGTTTGGCATATATTTGCAAAGCCACATTCGCTAATACAAGAACAGTAGTACTATGCCAGGACAAGCCAAAAGTTCATCTAGCCCAGCAGGAAAAGAATATAACAACATGGTAAGGATAGATTGCTATTGTCTCCATGCTACAGTGTTAAAATCTCTGAGCCTGAACTTTAAATCTACATCATCTTGTTTAGTAGCCTTTGATGGACCCCCTTCCCCTATGAATTTTCCCCTGAAGCACACGTTTGCTGCACCCAAAGCACCTTACAGCAATGACTTCCACAGTTTAATTTTGCCTTGCATCCTCCTGTAATTATAAACTCACTGCTAGACCATTTTACCTACTAGTCCCTAGTTCTTACGTGATGTTCATTATTCTTCTGTCATGGTTTAACCCCAGCCAGTAACTAAGCCCCACACAGGCACTTGCTCACTCCCCACCCCCAGGATTGGGGAGAGAATTGGAAGGGTAAAAGTGAGAAAAGTTGTGGGTTGAGATAAAGACAGTTTCATAGGGAAAACAAAAGCCACACACAAAAGGAAGGCAAAAGAAGGAATTCATTCAGCCCTTCCCATGGGCTGGCAGGTGTTCAGTCGTCCCCAGGATAGCAGGGCTCCATCACGCATAACAGTGACCGGGGAAGACAAATGCCAAAACTCTGAACATCTGCCCCTTCCTTCTTCCCCTACTGTATATGTGGAGCATGACACCATAATGGTATGGAATATCCCTTTGGTCAGCTGGAGTCAGCTATCCCAGTTGTGTCCCCTCCCAACCCACAGTGCACCCCCAGCCTCCTCACTGGAGGGGTGGGATGTGGACCAGAAAAGGCCTTATGTAAGTGCTACTCAGTGACAATGAAAACATCCCTCTGGTATCAACACTGTTTTCAGCACAAATCTAAATCACAGCCCCATACCAGCTACTGTGAACAAAATTAAGTCTATTGCAGCCAAAATCAGCACACTTTTTGGTATATACCTCTTTAATATCCTTATGCAGAGGTCTTGTTTATGCTAAAAGATCCTAGCTTATTATATATACAATTACCTCTAAGCAGATGAAAGAGTGGTGATCTCTCTTATGGTTATTCTACCTTCCCACTGTCAGAGATCAATACAGTGTGCACATTATCATCCATAAGACAACTGATGTGGGAAAATAAACCCCTCTTCTTTCATACCACTACCAGTATGATTTTCATAGTTATGTTCATGTTCACCATGCACTTTAAGACAAAATAACTTGTTAAAATCTTTCCTGAAATTGAAAATATTGTGAATATCATCTTGTTGGTATACTGGTATTTTGGTGTCTGCATTTTGGCGGAACAAGAACTCTAGCCCAAGAAATACAATGGAAAACAGTGAATTATCTCAGCAGTAGTCTGCTTGTAATCTAATATCTTCTACTGCAAGATACGATCTAAAAATGGCTTTTTTTTTTTTTTTAATAGGAAGGATACACTCACAAGTGGATGTACAAGTGAGTTTCCTGTAATATTCGTCCACATGCACAGATGGCATAAGATGAGGAAGGTGCTTCTCGCACCAAGTGCATGATAATTTTCATAAAGTATAGGTTCAGTGGTCGGGAGCAATACATCTGTACTCATGTAAAAACTCTTTGTGCTACAACACATTATCATGGTTCTTTTTACCTAATTATCACTTCTCTGCTGGACAATGATCACAGAATTCTCTGCTGTTGTGGTAGAGGGAAAAATGGGGCATTATATCCCTCTAAGAGTGCAAGTGAAATTCTCTATCTGACCTACATGTCCAGTTACACAGGCCACAACCCACAGGAACACCACTGACAGCAGGGTGCAGAAATATTTTTAACCTGGGGAGTTTCCGAACAAAGGTGAAATAAAATCGCATCTAGTTTCCATGTAAATTTGATGAATCATTAAAAGTCTTTTTTATCCATCTCTTACAAGACAAAATAAAGCAAATCACAACTAATACACAGTTTTCTTTAAAAAAACAATCTCTGCTGACAGAATAAACATAGCATCCCTACACAACCTGTTCTAATGAAGTGCTGGAATACAGATCATATTTCCTAAGGCCATGTTCTTGTTCTCCCCTTTTGTTCTCCTTTCTTAAGCAATAGCACCTAGTGGTAAATATCCTAGAATATCCTGAGTTGGAAAGGACCTACAAGGATCATTAACTCCAGCTCCTGGCTCTGCACAGGACAACCCCAAGAATCACATCATGCGTCACAGAAATGGGCACTGTCTGCTCTCTTAACAACTTTCCTCTTGTTGCAGTCCCTAAAAGGACGTAGCTTGTTGTTGTTGTTATCATCATTAAATCACATTCAGTTTATGATTTGCTGTAATTTTTAATTCTGCTATCATATTTGCATTCCTTGCAGTGCACACACACGTGCACACACACAGACACTTTCTGACTTCTGATGATGTTGACAAGACAAGGAGCTTTCTCATCTCCTAGCACACGTATGGAAGAAGATAGGGGCTGACAAGCATTCCCCTTCCTCTTCTTCCTGCTGGTATCCCTCCCTGTAGCCCTGACAGAAGTACCTTTGTCTCTCATCTCTGCAAGTGGTTTGCTTTTAGAAATGTTTGATCACTGAGCTCCCTGCTGAACTCTTATTTCATCTCCACAAATACAAGAAAGAGAGAGGCAGACTTTTACTGATTTCTGAATCAGAATCAAACTGTGTCCAGATTGTGAATGGGTGGAAATGAGGTGGCTTGAGGAAAGTGTAGGGAAAGGATATAGCTTTGGAACATCTTATTAAAGATCTGATGCTCAGTTCCTAAATACTGTGCCCGCATGGGGCACAGTGCATATGAGAAGAAAAAGCGAGTCAGTATGTAGCTGTGACATTTTCTCCTGCTTAATTAGAGAGCAGTCACATCTCTTGGATTATCTTCTAGGGTACAGAAAACATTAGTGTGCTCAAACCATCTCACAGCTACCACACAGAACATTACCTTTCTTGTGGTCAGACAGTGTTCCGCAAAATGTAGCAAATAAACTGGCTCCTCAGACTTATACAGGAAAACATGGTTCTACCTCCAGCTGATCTGGGGTAGCCCAAGCTGCAAAGCCGGCAGTCCTCATGGGGCTGAGAAGCCCAGCTGTGATGAAAGAGTCAGAGTGGGGAACAGCTTTTATCAGCATAAAACAATAGTGTTGCATCACAGCATTGAACCACAATGTAACAGAATCTTCTGACCCACTGTTAACTACAGAGCTACATTATTTGTGCAAGACCAGGAGAAGTGGGCCTGGGCAAAGTTTGGGAGATCCCATGGCAAAGAGATAACAAAACCCCTCTCTCATTTGTCTTTTGTATGATTTAGCTCTGTATCAGAGAACAGCATGCTGAGGGAGCCTAGTAAGTGGCCTAAACAACCAATAACAGATGAAAAGATCTTTGATGGCAATTGAAGACATTCAAGTTTCAGTAGAAGGATCTAAAGTGTCAAGTACTGCAGCACAGCCTGGGACTGCCACAATCCCCACTGCCAGTTGGAATAGGAATTAAAGGCAGAAATTAATGGCTCTTGCAAATTAAGCAGGAGCTACGGATGCATAATTTGGGAGTTTTCAACAGCTCAGGGAAGAAGCAGTAACTGATAGAAAGCTAAGAAGTGCCTGAGAGCAGCTTACTAACATTTCATCAACAAAGGAAAGAAAGATTTACAGTCAGCTGGGCAAACTGGGAGAAGAAGCTGTCTTTGGGAGTGTGCCTCACAGAAACGCTGCAAACTAAAGCATAAAAAAGATCTTTGAAATGTTACATATGTGAAATATTAGATAATTAATATAGAAAACTTGAGACTCTGCAATGCCAGGAGCATCTGATACAGATAAAAACCTAATTTATAAAGACATATCTAGGTCCCTGAAGGCAAAAATAAAACAATTTAGATCATAAAGCAAAGAAACCCTATTGTTAGAATTTGGTATGAGAAGCAGTCAGGGAAGTAGGTTGTCACAGGATTCAAATGACGTTTGTATGTAAATACATCTTGAACTGCCTTTGATTCCCTTGCTTTACTTTTGTATTAAATGGGGGTGAAGGTGGGGGCAGGGTGTTGGAAAATCAGTTATTTACAAGAGTTCAAAGAGTTTCAGCTGCAAACATACTGACAAGCCCAAGCAGTAAGAAAGACCTTCTGTTGCCCAGACACACACAGGTGGGGCCAACTCCAAGAAGGTGCACTAAGAGCAGATTAAAGCTATACACCAAAAGCACTGCTTAGCCAGTATCCTATTTCTGTCAGGGACTGGTAGGAGATTCTAGGGAAGAGCAGAAGAACAGGGCAAGGAGATAATGCTATATCATATCCTCAACTTGTTTCCAGCTTCCACCTGAATGCAGGTTAGGGGCTTCTAGAGGTGGTGTCTTTGCCTTCAGTAGACCTACACTTGTTTTAAATTTTGTCCAAGCACTTACTGAAATCATGTTTAGCTACAAAAAACCTCCTCATCTCAGGCCAAGCCTACAAAAAACTCTTGCCAGTAAAAATGTTAGCTTGTGGTGAAAATTGGTCCCTTCCCCCTTTTTTAAAATCAGCACCTAATACATTTTTCTGCTTGTACAGCTGATTTCCTTTTGAGGGAGTAAAATATTAGACAACAACACATAATAAAAGGGTTTTCTAGTTCAGATATCCTAGCAAGACTATTCCAGACTTTAAGAAAGTAGCCAGACGACAAAAACATATATTTAAATAGTGTCCACAGAAATTAAACATTCGAATGTGAATATGCCTACTCCTTTTGGTATTTCACTTATTAAAGAAAAAAAAAAAAGCCAAGCTGTTTCAAATTTCATTTTCTGTGAATCATATACTTTACTTTCAGAAATTGAATGCTGTTCCCACTAGCCTCATATCATCTGTCCTTGAAGCATAATACTTACACTACAAAATATTTCTAGGGGTTCTGGAATAACTGAACAGTGCTTTATGCCTTCTCTTTGTTTTGTTATGTGCAAACTAAACGCTAGTCCCCTCCAGGCAAAAAACCAGACTTACTGGTTCTATGGACGTGACAAGAAGCTCAAAGGTAGCATAAAGTTATTGTATAACAGAAATCAGAACCATAAAGTCAGTTTTAATGCATTCAAATAAGCAGACAAATTAAACAAACAAAACAAAAAACACATTAACACAGAGTTTACACAAGTGGCCATGAGAAGACTTGAGCTCAAGTTCTGATTTCCACACAAACTGGATTGCTGAGAAAAAAAATCACAACTCATAGTTCCCTAGTCTGGATTTAGTGGCTCTCTAGACCAAGCAAAGCAGTATGTAACAGGCAGAAAAATGAAGATGACCAAGGGCTACAAGTCAAGCACCAGTCTTTTTCTCAACTCTGGTAATGGATGTACTTTTAAGAAGCAATTTAACTGTATTTTTTGCTAGTACCTTGTTTTTCTTCACCTATAAAACTATTGCACATCTAAGGTGGCCAGAAAGAACAAAACAGTTACTGTGGAAGATATTTGTACAAGAAGTAATCTAATTCTGCATTTTATAAGGCAAATCATTTCACTTTTAGAAGAAAAAAGTCTATATTGGATGAACGTTTTAGAGCACAGCACATTTAGGAATAAGTCTAGCAGTGTCAGTATTCTGATGAGGAAAGTGGTCCTAAGGGTTGATATATCTTATGACTATAGGAGAATTGATAGTAGACGAAAATTCTTTGATGTTTTATTTAAAAGTTTTGCTCAATAATTCAATAAAGGGATCCATTATAAATCAGGAAAGAGTAAGAACATGCCATGAGTAGAATCCAGTAATGAATAAAAACCAAGTCTACACAAGGATAGCAAGTATCTGTAATTTAGGCAGCATATAATTCCCTACTTAACTCTACCAAATTAAGTTATCTGGGGTATAAACCAGCATGGAGTCTTGGATCTAAACAGCGACCCTACTGTAACTCCCTCATCTTTTGAGAATGGATAGATAAAAAGTACACAGCAGCTCCAATATTTTCATTAACAATGGTCTAGCTTTTCGATCACCTATACATGTTTGATTTTTTTCAGAATTCAAGGTGAGGCAAATATAAAAAGGAGAAGCAATATGTATGTGTTTTGTTGCTTATATCCTTCCCTCTCATCCCTGACTAAGCACTGTTAGGTCAGATAGGTACTCCAATGCTTATGAATCAAAACTCTGTTGTGCGCTCATTCCAAGAACAGGATTCAACAGGATTCATTCCAAAAAGTGTATTTACCTTTACTTCATAGAAACATACATTGCCTTAGTGTTCCTAGGTCTCAAAAAGAACATGTGGCACAACAGGATTGGATTTCTGGAATCTCTGGTGAACACACCTCCACAGACACCTAATTTGCCCCCCAGCTGCCTATATTTAGTCTCACTTACAGAAGATGAAAAATACTAACTTCTGACATTCTCACATCATGCCATTCTGCATATTCTAGCAGGAACTACAAAATTATTTTCCATAAACTTACAAGAAATCTGCTAGCATCAAGGAAGCCAAACCAAATTAGGAAATGCTTTTCCACGGAGTCTTCCGTCAAAATACAGCAAATATGGAAATTTCCAACAACTCAGCATGTTGCTACATTGCCATTTGCCCACAAATTCCAATAATACGTAGCTCTGTGATCCCACTAGCATCCTAGAGAGTAAATAAGTAGTGAGCTATAAATCTCAAAACCCATAATCACAGTCATTGCTACCTATCCCCTACCTTTGAATCCAAAAGATTTTTTAAAATTGCATTAGCTATTTTTATTTTATTTTTGTGCCAAAATAAGCAATTCTGAACTGAATGATACCTTTTATCAACTTCAGCTGTAACCCTGTCACATAACATCATTTTCTCTAAACAAGACATCCAGGTGGGAAAAAAAAAAAAAAAAAGGAAAAAAAAATCTTGACTTCAGGATCTCTTATTACAGCACCAACATCACATTTAGATATAGAAGGCTAGGCACTCTTTGCTTCCTTCCTTCCTTCCCAGGAAGTAATATTGCCAATATCCATTCTGTTCCAAATAGTCCTGATTGTCCCTTCAGAATATATCAGAATTTGTCCCAGGTGTCCTCTGTAGGTATTGATTAATAATAATAATAGCCATCTTTCTTTCTAACTCAGGCACCACTGAAGCGCCCAAGGTCAATAATAACACAAACCAGAACTTAGAATGACATGACAGTGGTAACATTTGCAAGGAAACAAGATTTTGCTTTAATCAGTCTCCTGCTGCTTTATGTTCCTAATCTGAAGGCAAATGCCACTAGGTTGATATGTCTTCAGGTAAAGAATAGCTGCCTTCATTTTATTATTCTAACAGGATTGTGAAAAAAAATCAATTAAAAAATCCATGTCTCTAAAAGATTACGTGGGAACAAGCTCTGAGAGTTGTATAAACCTTCCTTATGCTACAATGTCAGGCACAACTGGAAAGCCAAAAGGAATAGGAAACATAACCCTGAAGAACTAAATGCAAGTGAAGCAGAATTAAACCACCTCCCCTTAAGTCTCTCCCCTTAAGTATTTCTCTCTCTCTCAGTTTTGGAAAGCTATAGTAGAACTCTACTCCTTTACTGATATCCTGTAAGTATTCAAATATAAAATTTCTCAGATTTTGTCACAGGTCATCAAGCTGAGGAATGGGCTTATATATATGGCAACGAAGTCAGAATTTGCTATACTTGCTACTACTTAATTTCTTAAAAGTCAGATCTGACAGTCATCTAAATTACATTAGAAGCTCAACACTAAGAAGGTGTGTGTTGTAAAGGGCTGCAGTAGCATTTTTAAGCTTATTATAACTGTAGAATAGGGGGCTTATTCTAATGCTGCTATTGTCTCTAGGTATTCATTTTCAAAAAGCTAGAATCATTTACTGTACCACAACTTAGCCCTTACTTGCCAGATTTACTTCTTTTCAAGTAGGACTTGTTCTTTTAAAGAAATCACATAGAAAGTCATTCACATATACAATATTTTCTGTTGCCATGTATCTAAAAAAGCAAAGTGTAAAAGTGTATTTCTGCAAAACCATGATCAAATACTAGAG